CCCCTCTTGAAAATTCTGGATCAGCCCCTGCTATGTGTTAAAAGGTTTAAGAAACAAATATGTTACCAATACTTTTATACCCGCCTGAAAAATTAAACGAAAATTACTGATTAAACTTGATCTGTAATGAAATTACAATACTGTACAAATATTTCTATTATTGTTTTAATGCTTTCATGACATTCATTCTGCTAACGAGAATGATGATGATTTCTTTCAATTCTTTCATAACATTAATTCTGCTAACAAAAATGATGATAACTACAGGACAAAGGCGTTCAGTTTTTATTTCAGTTCCACCAGCACACCAACAATGACAACTAGAGTACCAAGGTAGTAGTAGTAAAACTTTATTTTGGCCTATTCACGATGTACAATTCAAAAAATTGAATGCTGTTTTTTATTATGGTCGTCAGATACCTTATTTACAATGTACATAATAAACAAAATTTAAACGCAGAAATTAAATGATATAGATACAAAACACAATTATTATAGAGAACGCTAAAGTCAACAATTTAATAAAATAAAAGTAATCTATAGCAGCAATGGCAAAATAATTTATGGAAATGAAGAAGATCCACTCCACAAAAGTAAACTGGAAATTACGAAAAAGAAATGTAAAATATTAATAAAACACTAAGTTAGTGATTCATGCAATGTTTATATAATCATATTAATTATACTTTGTTTTCATTAATTATTAATACAAATGTGGTTCTTGATAGAAGACTGTACATCTGTGCTCAATATGAAATACTTTTTTTTAAAATTATTCTCGTGCATTCAGTTTGCATTGATTCCCGTCCAAAGGACAGGTACACAGCTAGTATAAAATATAGGCCCTAATTCATGTAACCATAATATTACTATATTCATGACTTATAACAACCAGGGATGTAATTATAGTGGGCGGAGGTGGGTGGGGCCACCTAGCCTTTAAGTTTTCCACCCAGTCTAAAGCTAATTTCATGGCCTTCCACCCACCCTTATTAACCCACTTTTCCATCCTTAAAGGCCAGCTCCGGGCAAAAATTTTCAATTGGCTATGTATATTATAGTTATTAACAATCTATTGATTCACTATGTTTTGGCATTTTTCTGAATTTTGTTTAGCTACATGATTTTTTTAAAATAAGTACTTTTTTTGAAAGTGGGGGTATAGGTAAACTTACCCAGCAAAATTCCTATTCTTTTGCACACAAATGACCTTAACAGCAGGCATTTTGAAAAAGTCATATCAAATAAATTGTTTTAAAGGCTAGTTCGACTTTATACGAGTAAAATTGTAAAGTTCATGAATTTTTTCAATTATTTGAAAAATTCATTCCGAATACTTTAGATATAAAATAGGAATATGATTAAACTCATTGCCAAAAATTATTGGTATATTGAAGTGTAAAAGTGTTACTATTAAAGTCACAAATTATTGTTGAGACTACTTAAACTGCAGTTACTTTTTTTTTGTGTATAATTTGTAGTGCGAACCAAATGTGATTTTGAAGATCCATACATCTGTCACTTTAACCAAGATTACTTTGATGATTTTGATTGGATAAGAACATCTGGATCAACAAACGCATCTGGTACTGGCCCTAAGTATGACCACACCTACGGAACATTACAAGGTATTAAAAAGCTGACATGAATTTAAATTTCCTAAATGAAATTGTAAATTCTTAATGAAAATATTTCTAAAACTACAAACGAAATGAATAAAATAAACTACGAAGAGATATAACAACCATATCTCTTTGAAATCATGGACATTTATTTTACCATTTACTTACAGGTTTCTATATGTACATGGAAACTTCAAATCCGAGAAACTATAATGGACCTGCACGAATTTGGATACGGACATATCTTGCAACAGACGTCACATGCGTTGAGTGGTTCTACCACATGTACGGCACCACAGGGAACATATTAAATGTGTATATAGTCAAGACAACACATGCTGTTGGTACACCTGCATGGACAGAAAGAAACAACCAAGGAAATATTTGGCAACTTGGACAAATCTCAGTTAAAACAGTCAATTCCTACTACTATATAATGTTTGAAGGAATTGTAGGAAGTAGTAATACAAGTTATATTGCTTTAGATGATGTCAGGATCACTGATGGAGCATGTTCGAAAGATGGTAAAGTACATTTTAATCTCAAAATTCACTACAATAAAATGATTATCGTTTTTGCAACCTGACCTTTTGTCTCGGCTTTACGATACATACAACCTTCGCCACCCAGCCTTTTACCACACCTGGATTTGAAGAGTGTGAATGGAATTTTGTATTGTGTGCTTAAACTTCTCTGAGTAAGAATTACAAAGATGCTAATAGATATTGAGGCTCTTTTTATAATCCTATTAATCTTAATAGTCTTATCACTGACTTGTAAAAATCATATAATAACTCAAGTACACAGTCTTGATTAAATAACTGATGAGAAAAAAAACAGAAACAACCTTTTCATGCGATACAGAAAATACATACATTTATTGCATTTTATGAGTAGTTCATTTGTATTTTCATCCCAAGTTACTTTATTGTCTATGACGATTCCTAGGTACTTAGGTTTTTCAATTACTTTAACTAATTCGTCATTAATGGTTAAATTATCATGATGCACAATTTTCTTACGGTAATTTACAACAATCTCTTTGGTTTTTATCAACATTTAATAGTATAAAATTAACCTTGACCAAAGAGTTGACAAAAGACCAACAATACGGAGTAATATCATTATTTTTGACAAGCTTAACTATACAGGTGTCGTCAGCCAATTTGAGGTTAAAGCATTTACTCTGTTTAATTGGGGTACATAAGGATAGAACATAAGGGGTGACAAAACACACCTTCAAGGATCTTTGGTGTTACATACAAGTGAAGAGGATGTGAAACCATTAAACTATTAAACTATTATTAAACTATTTGACTTCTCCACTAAGAATGTCAGAAATCTAGAAGTTCAACTGGGCTACCCCATCTTGATTGACTAATCGGTAAGAATATGCGGTTGAATTTTTAAACGCTGATTTTGAAGTCGAGGAACAAAATCATAGCACACGTACAGGTACTCTCAATGGGCATCCACCTTTGTGAGTTAAATTTTGTAACAGCATCAACAACCCCCCCCCCCTTTTTTTTTTTGCTGTATGCATATTGAAACATATCAACATTAGTCTTAGTATCTTCATGTAAAATGATTTCCCATAAAATTTTTGGGACTAGCATTGAGGACAATATGTCTAGTCATTGCATATCAAAGGGTTCTCTACTTTGATATAGGAAATGTTTGCATAGCTTAGGTAAACAAGAAATATCCAAAGACCACTGGAACAAGAACTGAAATATATTACTAATTTGTAAATAACAGAACTAAATTACTTTATTTGAAACACCATCAGGCCCTGGATTCTTTATGTGAGTTGATTTTCCTACTTTTCAACATCAAAAACGGTAACATTGATTTTGTTGTGACAATTGACGAACTTGAAAGATGACTTCAGCGAAAGAGTATAAAATATGTTTAATTCATTCGTAGAAATTGCAGTGTTCTGAAGTCCGCAAGGCTGTATTTACTTCTAACTCCGTTTTATTTACTGCATCCCGATCCATACATTCCGAATGTCACAAGATTCAAATTTATCTTGGATTGATTTTCCGATCACTCTTTTACTTACATTTTAAATGCGTTTACTGTTTGCCAGAGCTCCATTTCGTCATGTAGAATATTTTTCTTTCATCAATGTACGTAAATCTTTAAATACCCATTGTTTGATATTTGGATAATATGTCTCTCATATATTTAGTTGGTATAATTGCGTTTTCACAAAACTTTATGTACGACAATACACTTTTAGTTGCTACATCAAGAAAATTATTATTTGGAAAATGTCCAAGTCGGTCAATTTAATGAAAATATTGAACTCATCTATGGCATTTCTTAATTACACTTTCACAGTTTTGGTAACAGCTTTTCCCCGTTTTAGTTTTTGATTGTACTTTGGTAACAGATGAATGAGGTGATGGTCTGATTTTCCTATTCCATTTTATTTCTTAACGGTGTATGCATTTACGATGTTTCCACAGCATTCACCTAGTGTATTCTGCTTTCTATATATCAACATATTGATGAATGGGGGGAGAGATTGTTTAAGCTTGCTGCGATAAATGTCAAAATACAAGATTTAATGCATCAAATTTAATACCACTTTTATCATGTCAGAGCACTCCACCAATGTCTTTATCACACAGAATTCAATATACGTTTTCTTGCAATTGTTATCACAATCAGTCAATATAAGGACGAATATATCAATTGATTGCCAGATTTTGAACAAACCAATTGTGGTTAAAATAATAGAATAAGTACACAGCGTGAAACATTCATAGATGTTGTTAAGTTATTATTTTCTGTTGGGTTGTTTTCTGCCATGACGGATGTTTTCGGAAACAAACTGAATCATACAGAGATATCAATATTCAACTCTGCCGCATTTATTCAACAACTCGTGTAACATATTCTCCTTTCATTCATGACCTCTATCAAAGTAAAAGGTCCTGTACAAAACAAAGAGAGGGCGCTATATAGGATAACAGTAATCCTGATTATGAGAACACATATCCAACACTCCCACTTGTTCTCATTTTAGTAAACATCTTTAAATTCAACGTTAACATATCAAAACAACTATAATGGATAAAAAAAAAATATTCAACTTCCACTTCTTCTTGTGAGATCAACCTTCTTCAAATACAGTATAGATCTTTACCTTGATGCATTTAACAAATCAACATCTAATTGCGGTGTGATGAACTAACTCCCAAACAATAAACACTTGAACTTATTAATTTTTAATTTTGTAGCAGGTTTTGTGAAAATATCTGCAACCATATCTTCTGATGGGCAATACTCAATATCTATTTTGCCCTCATTATGAACA